AGTGGGGCCACCAGCCCTGGAGGGCTGCATGGGCCAAGTGTGGGAGGGGACAAGCCCCAGGTGGGCTGGTGCGCCCCCCCACAAGGGCCCAAGGCGCAAGGGAGAGGAGAAGGGGGCAAACCCTAGGGCAGATGGGCCCTAAGGCCCACCCTGGTGCGCCTCCCCCTCTCCCCTCCCCTTGGCCGCCCCTAGATGGGATCTAGGGGGCTGCTGCCACCCCTAGGGAGGGAACCCTAGGTGGGGGCGCAGCCCCTCCCCTTCCCCTATATATAGTTGAGGTATGGGCTGCCCATAACACATGAGTTCCTCTCCCTGTTGGTGCAGCCCTACCCCTCTCCCTCCTCGTCTCTTGCGGTGCTTGGCGAAGCCCTGCTGGAGTACCACGCTCCTCCACCACCACCACGCCGTTGTGCTGCTGCTGGATGGAGTCTTCCTCAACCTCTCCCTCTCTCCTTGCTGGATCAAGGCATGGGAGACGTCATCGGGCTGTACGTGTGTTGAACACGGAGGTGCCGTCCGTTCGGCATTGGGATCGTCGGTGATTTGAATCACGACGAGTACGACTCCATCAACCCCGTTCACTTGAATGCTTCCGCGTAGCGATCTACAAGGGTATGTAGATGCACTCTCCTTCCCCTCGTTGTTGGTTTCTCCATAGATGGATCTTGGTGACACGTAGGAAAATTTTGAATTTCTGCTACGTTCCCCAACAGGTGCGCCATTACTAAGTTTTTTTCAAAAAAAAACAATTTTTTCTCAAAACTAGTAATGGCGCACCGTGGGTGTGGTGCGCCATTATTAACTTGGCCCAAAAATTCCACCGAATGCACACACCCCCCTCCCGTCCCGTGGACCGCCTTTTCAGTTTAAAAAGAAAGAATATGATGGAAATGTCAAAAAATAAAATAAAATAAGTTTCTCATGTGATATGTGGTCTACTTATTGGGAAAATTTACAAATATGAATTTTGACTTTATTTGCAAAATCTCTCTGGAATTTGTAAAATGGGCATAACTTTTGCATACGAACTCGGATTAAAAAGTTTTTTATATGAAAAATCATTTACTCGAAAAGTTACACCCGAATTGAACTGGGGGAACATCGTTCAATATCTTCAAAATCCCCAAAAACCTAACAGAACGAAAGATACGGGGCTTTTAAGATCTAGAGGGGGAAAATGAAAAAAAAATCAAACTTACTAGTGGCGCACCATTTGCTAGGTGCGCCACTAGTAACAGGAAAAAAAATTGGTTTCAAAAAATTTTGGAATTTTTTTTTCAAAATATGATACGTAATATGACTGGGAAATTTGAAATATTTTTTCAAAATTTCATCATACTCATGAACATGAACAAAGCCCTAGACATCAACAAAGTTTAATATGATTGATATGATAGATATATCAACAAGTGCGTGTGAAGTGAGCTGGTTCTGGGGTTGGATAGAACTGCGAAGTTAAGCGTGCTCAGGTTGGAGTAGTGTGAAGATGGGTGACCTTTCGAGAAGTTTGACCACAGAGTGCGATTTGACTTGAGATTAAGCATATTGGCCTGAGGTTAAGCCATAGTGACCTGAGATTAAGAAAAATTGAAAAACAAGCGCACTTCTATGTGGTGCGCCACTAGTAGGCCTTTTCCTAGTAGTGGTGTGCCCAGGGGTTTGAAGCGAGGCTACGATACTTTCATCATCTTAGTAACATCTTAGTAGCCTGGGAGCTCTGGAAGCAAAGGAATGCGTGTGTGTTCAACAGGGTGCAGCAACAGAGGACCCCGATGGAGTTGGCGGATGATATCTTCCGAGAAGTTAAGCAATGGAGCCTAGGTAGTGTTGGAGTTGGTAGTTTAACACATTTTGTGAGAGAGTAGCCTAGAGTGTTGTGTCGGGTGTAAAGGGTGTTGGCCTAGCTTGGATGCTCTCATCTAGCTCGCGTCATTCTTGTACATTTACTCTCTTCCTTCTATAAAAATATGGTACGTCTTTGGCGTACTCTCGGAAAAAAAGATAGGTCGTTCTATATGTTAGTTCAACTCCGTTCTATTCGACTTCGTTTTGGTCCCTTAGGCTCCCGCTGGTAACAGAACGCATGAGGTTGAAGAGGAAACTATGGTCTCTTCGGTGACCAGGGAATGGCTACATGTAAATAAACATTTAATCACACAATTTCTTGTCAATCTATGGTGGGTCCCTCTGCTGATGTGGATATCTTGCATGTTTAGATAAATAGAATTGTGGGGGTGAGTCTCTTAGATATATACGATAGGATATGGCTCATCGATCAAAACAGTTGGTTGGTTCATATAAATTAGACTTATGGACAGCAGTTTAATAGCATGTGCTAGGCTTATGCCTTCCGTCCAGCATATGTTGCTGGCCAGTGTCTCGTGTTCTTGACTCAACAACAGTAGGATTTGAAGTTGTAACCGTGTGCTCTCGGTTCACCAAACTTAACATTTCTAAATGTATGACTGTATGTTGAGTTGTTCCATCGAGAAATTATGCCTTTCTAAGTGTACGGTTGAAGTGCTTGTGCTTCGTTCTCCACACTGTAGAATGGGTAGCTGATTATGAAAAGCTTATGTTGTGGCCATCCGGACCCGAGCGCTAGCTGTATATATGGCTGATCAATCAAAATGGTTGGTTGATTCATATAAGATGGAGTAAACAAAAAGTTGATGGCGATGCATACGGATCGACTGAAATATCAGCTTTTAATATGCCATAAATTAGACTTATGGTTAGCAGTTTGATAGCAAGTGCTAGACTTATGCCTACCGTTCACCATATGTTGCTGGCCAGTGTCTCAAGTTCTTGACTCAACAATCGTAGGATTTGAGGCTATAATTGTGTGCCTTCGGTTCACCAATTTTAGCCTTTCTAAGTGCAAGATTGTATGTTGAGTTGTTCCACCAAGACATTATGCTGTGCACGCTGTCAAGCGTTGTGGAGAGCGGTAAATCAAGAATGTTCTATACGGGAAATGTGAAAACAAGATATATAAAAAAACCGTGTTTCAAGAAAACAAAAGCGTTTAAATTTTTCCTCTGAGAGGAAAGTAAGGAAGTCCTCGCAATGTTCGTCCTAATCTTGTGCTTGCATTATTCATTAAAGAATGCAACTGTCAAACACGAAGAAGAAAGTGATGTAAGCAATGCCTACTTCACTGAGATGAGAGGCCTCATCAATGAACTTGCTGCAGCTGGAAAAGAAGATCGATGACGACGATCTAATCTCAGTGCTCCTTCCAGACTAGACACACACTACAATCTGTTGGTCTTGTCCATGTCCGCCAAAATGGAGTCAATCATCCTCACAACTTGTACTCGCAGCTTCTCGCCTTTGAGGCACGGCTAGAGCCAAGCTCTAGCGACGAAATATCCGTTTGCCAATGGCACATCACATGGTCATGGTGGTGGCACAATATACTACCTCGGCAAACGCGGTGGTGGCGGTGGCCTCTCTAGTGGGCACATCGTGATAACTTTCATGCTGTAGGTGTATGATAACGTTATCAACACCACTCTTTCAAAATAAATTCATTTGGAAGTTAATGCCCCCCTCAAAAATAAAGATATTTATGTGGTTCATAAACAAAGGTCTCATTTTGACAAATGGGTAACCTGGCCAAACGTCATTGCCATTGATGCAAAGAAATATTGTTTATGTGTGATTATTCATCGTTTGCCCGTTTGCAATATTTGTGTGGCAAAAGATACATGTAGCTTTTGATTTTCCACCCCCAACTAGCATGGTGAATATGGTCGGTAATTGGATGTGGCGTGTTCCTCCCTGCTTAAGGCACATATGTGTCAATGTTTATGCTTTACTTTAGGCATTATGAAATTTTCATAATGATCTTATTTTATACAATTTCAAATTTCCTAATTTCTTGCCGGTCATCTACAGAGTCACATGCTTCATATGTTCATGCTTTACCCTACTTCATGTGGACGACAGTGGATTCACGCACTTTAGGTGCACTCAACTGGAGATGTTTGCACGGGGATTCTTCACCGTGGCTGGATGATGATCCAATAATAGGATAGTAGCATATATGCCCGTGCGTTGCAACTGGGGAGATATCCAATTTGAAACGGGGTTATTTTTTTAAGTTTCACAAACATTTTTTAAAATATGAATCTTTTTTATAAAACGTGTTTTCTTATGAATTTGTCAACAATTTTTTAAAACATGGATATGTTTTAAACATTCAAAACAATTTTAGAAAATGAGCTTTTTTAAATGCAAAAATTATTTTGAATTTTTGAAACTTCAGTCAAACAATAATAATTTTAGAACTTGGAACGTTTTAAAATGCATATTTTCTGAAAATCTCAAAAAAATGGAACATTTTTAGTTTGGAACAAATTTCGGAATGAGACCAAATTTAAAAGTTCCGAAAATTTTCAAAAATGGGAACACAAGTGTGAAATTCTGAACATTGTTAAAAAATTGAACACAAAATGAAGTTCTGAGTATTATTTTTTTTGAATTGACAAAAAAGGGAAAATAAAAATAAATTTGAAATAGAAAAATGAAACAACGAAGAAAAAGATAAATTATCTGGGAAGAAAAGAACACAAAAAATGGATCGACCCAGTCTTGGGCGCCATGTGCCAATCTCCGACTATTTTCCGCACTCCGCGGCAAGTAGGGTTTTCTGAGTTGCGTAGGCAGGAAAATAAGGGGGTTGACTTCGCTGGGTAGCAGCGCGGCGGCCCATGACAAAATTTTGGAGAAACCGGTTTTCCTTTTCTAGCATGCGGACGCAAAAATATTTAGTACCACCTTGAATAAAAAAATATTTTCGATAGTGAACGGATGAAAAAAAATCGAAGATAGGCACCTTACTTTGTTAGTAGGTATAGACGTGTTTCTGTCATTATATCTTGTTAGTGTCTGGTTGTTTCTAGCTTTGTTTTTCTCCCTGTTCTTTGTATGGTGTATTGGATGTTTGATGCTCTAAATTTAAGAAATATAATTGTGTGCATCATATGATTTAGATGCCGAGTGAGCGACTAGTTCCTCCTCCGGCGGAGCAACGCTACGATACTCCCTGGAGCTGCCCGGGCGCAGAGATCTCTTCCAAGTGCCACAACGAGCTCCTACGAGACGGCAGCACGACGTCCTCCTCATCGGCAGTGGCACCGCTGGTTAGCCCGATGCAGCGAGTCAACCTCGTCATCCTGACTAATTTTGTCGTCTCACTCGTCAGCGCCATCTTCGAGGCCCTCGCCAATCATCTGACCCAGCCGTGCTTCTGACTGACACACATGGCCAGTTCGTCTGTCAAGAAGCAACAAAGTCGAGAGAGGAGACTAGTGGATTATATTTTCTTCTTGTCTGGGAGCGCTCCTTCGCTAAAAACAGGCTGGTGGTTGCATCAGCTCCAAGTCCTATAGTCAAAGTTTTTCCTATGCCTCTTATTCCTAAAAAAAATGCATGCACGTCATCGTGCACACTGCGTGGACACGATCGAAGTGCTTGGGATTCGTTCTCCACGTTGTAGAATGGGTAGCTAATTTTGAAAAGCTTATGTTGTGGCCATCCGGACCAGAGCACTAGCTGTATATATGGCTGATCGATCAAAACGGTTAGTTGATTCATATAAGATAGAGTAAACAAAAAGTTGATGGCTATGCATAAGGAGACTGAAATATCAGCTTTTAATATGCCATAAATTAGACTCCTGGTTACCAATTTAATAGCGGGTGCTAGACTTATCCCTACCGTTAATTGTGTGCCTTCGGTTCACCAATTTTAGCCTTTCTAAATGTAAGATTGAATGTTGAGTTGTTCCACCAAGACATTATGCTGCGCACGCTGTCAAGTGTTGTGGAGACCGGTAAATCAAGAATGTTCTAACAGGAAATGTGAAAAGAAGAAATAAAAAACCGTGTTTCGAGAAAACAAAAATGTTTAGAATTTTCCTCTGAGAGGAAAGTAATGAAGTCCTCGCATTGTTCCTCCTAATCTCGTGCTTGCATTATTCAATAAAGAATGCAGTTGTCGAACACGAAGAAGAACGAGATGTCGGCCAATGCCTACTTCACTGAGATGAGAGGCCTCATCGGTGAACTTGCTGTAACTGGAAAGAAGATCGATGACGACGGCCTAATCTCGATGCTCCTTGCCGGACTAGACACACACTACAATCGGTTGGTCTCGTCCATGTCCGCCAAAATGGAGTCAAACGTCCTCACGACTTGTACTCGCGGATTCTCATCTTCGAGGCGCGGCTGGATCCAAGCTCTAGCGGCGCAGTATCCCGCTGCCAACGCCACGTCATATGGTCATGGTGGTGGGACACGATACTAGCTCGGCAAACATGGCGGCAGCGGTGGCCTCACTATCGGGCACATCATGGTAACTTTGATGTTGTAGGTGTATGATAACATTATCAACACCACTCTTTCAAAATAAATACATTTGGAAGTTAATCCCCCTCGAAAATAAAGATCTTCATGCGGTTTCATAAATAAAGGTCTCATTTTGACCAAAGGGTAACCTGGCCAAATGTCATTGCCAGAGATGCAAAGAAAGATTGTTGATGTGTGATTATTCATCATTTGCCCGTTTGCAATATTGGTGTGGCAAAAGATACATGCAGCTTTTGATTTTCCACCCCCAGCTGGCATGGTGAATATGGTCGGTAATTGGATGTGGGGTGTTCCCTTCCTGCTCAAGGCACATATGTGTCAATGTTTATGCTTTACTTTAGGCGTTACAGAATTGTCGTAATGATCTTGTTCTATACAATTTCAAACTTTCTAATTTTTTGCAGGTCATCTACAGAGTCGCATGCTTCATACGTCCATGGTTTACCGTACTTCATGTGGAGGATAATGGATTCACGCACTTTGGGTGCACTCAACTAGAGATGTTTGCACGGGGATTCTTCATCATGGCTGGATGATAATCGAATAATAGGATACTAGCACATATGTTGTGCGTTGCAACCGGTGAGATATTTTTTTTACAAGAAACAACGGGAGAGATAATTGATGTTTCCTTCAAAAACGGTTTCTCCAGTGGTCGGTGACAGAGTGAAGAGTTGTGGTCTTCTCGTGGGTCATGTTTAGCCCGCGAGATCTTCGTAGTGGTGGGGTTAATCAGTTTGGCGGTAACCACTCAACTCATGTCTTTTTTGGCCATGATACCATGTAGAATTGTACGCACCAGTCAGTTCACCCGAACGCTCAAGCTTATGGAGAAAGGTGGGCTAAGGCATTTGTACTTCGAGACTCAGGTACATGGATTGTGGGTATTTTGAGCCAATTTACGAGGCTAGCAACCCATGTTATCATGTTTACTATATTTTAGATGTTCGCAATTGTGGGTATATAGATAACGAATCTATGTGGTCGGGCTACATGCATAAGAAAAAAGTAAGATTTTGTATTGTGTAGATACAGATTCATGGTTCCTTATGTTTTTCTACTACAAGTCATCATTCCTTTTCAGTTTGGTCATGCAAGTTTCAATTTACAATTCCGTAATTTTCCGTTCCAATTCACCCCTTTTGGGCATAGCCCACCGAACACATGTGTGTAAACTCACGGAAACAAAGTGTGCCGACCCCGTAATGTGATGCAACAAATGAAATGCATCTGCCATACTCCAAACTACATTAGGACATGAGTGCACGGGTGTGATAAGTTTTTTTTTTTTGAGAATTTTTTTCATTCATATCACAAATCAGTACAAAGAAGTTGACCCTTACAAGTACACTGAAACGCAAACACAAAGGACCATGAACACGTAGAGTACCCTAATACAACCATAACATAAGAAAATCTCCGGAGCCCTATGTCATCATCCCTGAATCTTGAAAAAAGACCCCTGCAGCAGAAGGATCTGCAACCAGTCGCAAGCAGGTCATCATCTTCGACCACGGTACAATTGCCGCCACGCTGCTTCCTCCTTTCTTGACACCAGCGCTGAGAGGGCATGGACATCAATACAACACACCTGCAACAGCCGTCGCCATCTTTGGCTTTGAGTACCGTGAAAAGTGTCCCTTCCGGAAGGAAGAGAACTCGAGTCATCCGACCGGTCCAGCACCGCGGCCGGGCCATCCGCCCGGGCAAAGCAGGATCTCCCACCAGTATCAGCGCAGAGGAAGGAGAAGAACAGCAACGGAAAATCATACCAACAAGGAAGAAGAAGGGTCTTCGTCTCCCTGCATCCATCGCCCATCTGAGGACCCAAACGGCCAGTGCCGATGGACCTTCAGCCACCAAAGCCCGCGACCTCGACGAGACCCGGGGATCCCCAACTCCGCTGGCTCCTAGACGAAGGCAAAAGCCTCGCCTGACCGCGAACGGAGCCCGGAGAAACTTATTCCGACGCGACACCACCGCAACGGCCTCGGCAGCGTCTCCCTCAACCCTAACCCTACCACACACCCACCTAGCGAACAGACCCGAGGTTCCCCCTCCCTCCCGCCACCGGAGCGGCCGACGGAGAGAGAGGGAACCGGCGGCGTCACCGGCGGCGCGCAAGGGAACCCTCGTCGCCTTCCTGATCGCCTGTGCGATCCTACTTTTCCGCTGTGTAGGTTGGTAGGTGCGGCAACTGTTTGATCCGACGGATGTGATAAGTTGACCACATCCAACCTCGTTGGGACTTCAACCGACCATGGGACACTGCGACTTGCTTCACGGTCTCGTGGGTCTGCCCTTGCCGGTGTAAGTTTTAGATGGCATGGTTCAAAGGAAGCTACGCGGCACAACCACCGGTGGGCACGACCTCTCGGGGTCTTTTGCCCAAAATGTCGAAGGTGTTTTTCCAATGCCACTCATTCCGAACTTTGAAGAAGCATGCGTGCACGGTACCATACACGCACGCAACGTCTCATACCTACACAGAGTTATGTGATTAACTGCCTATGGTCTAAACCGAGCTTTGCAGTTTCAGTATCAAGCAGTAGTCGTTGGTAGGCTGAGCGACGTGACGGGTGTTTTTTTTTTCTTGAGGGAACGTGACGGGTGTGTGTATGTGTGTGTGTATTTTTTTTTTTGAGGGGTGTGTGTGTGTGTGTGTAGACTGGGGATGAAAGCCGGAGGGTTGGGCTTCCAACTTCCGAGTGGCGGGCCGGGAACAGACAGAGCCCGTGAACAAATCTTTAGCCCATGTGGCCCGGGCAGCGTGCACACTGATTCCGACCGTTGGGTCGCCTCGGGTGCGCTCTCTCGCTCGCTTTCGGCAAAGCCACGCGCACTCATCTCCCCGACCGTTGCCGAAAATTCCCCTTCAAAACCTCCCCACACGAGACTCGCCATCCCCACCCATCAAATCCACCGCCACACACGCCACCCTCGCCGGAGAAGAAGGATCCATCCCATCCCATCCATCTGCATACCAATCCGGGCCATGGCCGACGCCGCCGCGCTCGTCGCCGTGCCGCCGCAGGCGCAGCCGCAGCAGAGGCACCCGCTGAGCCAGATCGCGGCGAGCGGGACGCACCGGCTGCTGCTCAAGCAGTGGCTCAAGGAGGAGGACCTGCTGGCGCGGCGCGTCGCGCTGCGGGAGGCCCGCCTCGACGGCGCGCGCAAGGAGATCGCCTTCCTCTACTGCGCCTTCTTCGCCTTCCACGCCGCCTCCGTCCTCCTCCTCTTCCTCTCCGCCTCCGTCGCCCCCCTGACCACCTCCCCGTCCTCCGCCTGCCGCCGCTCCTGGATCCCCTGCCTCGTCTCGCTGCTCGCCTCCCTGGCCATGCTCTGGGCGCTGCGGTACAAGGCCGACACGGAGGCCGTGCTGGAGCGGGTGCTGGCGCGGGAGCAGGAGGACGCCGCGCTGCTCGGCCGCTGCGTCGCCGAGCTCAAGCGCAAGGGGCTCGAGTTCGACCTGCTCAAGGAGGTGGACGCGCTGCGCAGGGCCAAGGCCCTCCGCGTCGAGGCCAAGGCCGGCACCGACGGGCCCAGGCGCTGGCCCGCCAGGGACCTCCCCGTCTTCGCCCTCTTCGGCGCCGCCTGCGGCGTCCTCGTGCTCACCAGGTTCCTGCTCTGCAACTAGGCCGAATCTCGCGAATCATGGTCCGTTCCGTGTTCATCAGGACTCCGATCGCTGGATCGATTGATGAAGCGTACTACTGTTTCTGTTCGTTCCTGCAGAACTGTTTGTTCTGCGAATTTTGATGTCTGTAATAAGGATAAGATCTGTTGCCGATGCGTTTAGTTTCGTCCGTGTTGGTGTTTGCTGTTATACCAGAGGGGCAAAATTACACTCCCAAACCTCAAGTGTTTATGAACATTAAGATATAAGTTAATCCCCTAAATTTGATCCTCTTTACATTGTCCTTGTGTGAAGGATTGTGATTGTTCTGTCATGCTTCTCTTAATATCAGTTAGTTTCCGAGTTCCTGAAAATCGACGAGACATTGGCACCACAATTTGCCATGATATCGAGTTATGGGAAATGTTCAGAATAAATTACCAAGTCTCAGAGCGTCGGGATACATTCTGGAACATCAAGGAAGGGGTACGGTAAAGTTTAACACAGGAGCTAAGATGAATGAGTCTTCAGGGAACCAGGTGTATTTAGTAGAAGAGACAGTGCCAGCTCAACTCTCTAGTTCCTGAATCTATTCTCCTCCTTTTGCTTGCCCTTTACACCTGAAAACTCTTGACAACCCCGATTCCATGCAGCTTCAGATGCAAGCCTGGCAAAAGGAAATTGCAAACCAAGACAGAGTGGTTAGCTGATTGCAATCGGAAACCATTCCACCATAGATTTGTACTTGCTGTAATTAAAAAGATGAACTGTGCCCATGATGATGTGTTGATTTTTGTTTGTGCTTGTACCAGAACCAGAGGGCAAAATCAAAATATGTGCAATCACCATCCCCTCTCAAACCTCCATACAATTACCATAAAGATATGTTTGCCTCCACTTGATCCTCATACATTGATATAGTTCTGCACGTTACTATCTTCTTCCTTATGAGTATTACTGCTAGCAGCAAAAACATCTGAAGAATTCAGCCCCGTTTCTGGAAACCAAAAAGATACTGTCAGCTTTCCATCACCTGGTGCTATTTTTGGAACATTTGGGGAAGAAATGTGCAAAATCAGTGAGTTGCAAGTGCCAGATTTGGTGCCCAATTCGCCTTGCATCGAAAACCATTATTCAAGGAACTTTCGGGGGCAGTGCCATCTCAACTCTATCTAGTTCCTGAATCTGTACTCCTCCTTTTGCTTGACTTTTGACACCCGAAACTCCTCCATCACATCAGAAACCCAATTCCACTCACCTTCAGACGCAAGCCTGAGAAAGCAAGATTTGCATACAAACCAAGCAACGGTTGATTGATTATCACAAACTAATATTCATATAGATATTCATTACATCGATTTGCGCATCTCATAGAGACGCAACTGTGATCACAAATCATCACACCGGATCAACCACCCTTCACAGTAAGCATCACACAAGAAACGAGCAACAAATTACTCCATGTACACGGTATAACCAAACCCAGTAAACAAACAACACCAACGCTCCAGCTAAGGAGGAGGAGGGAGCTCGACCGATCAGACGGCGTCGGGGCCTTCCTTCTTCAGCGGTGCCGGGTACGGCCCCGGGGACTGCCCGGCGACGCCGGGCGGCGGCAGGGGCGTGCCGTAGATCTGGGCCCCGACGCCGGCGCGCATCTCCTCGCGGCCCTTGTGCTTGCCGAGGAAGTAGCAGCCGAAGCTGAGCAGGATGGTGAAGAATATGAAGGGCAGCGAGATCACCAGCACGAACCCCATTCCCCTCCCTCCCTCCCGGATGGACG